CCCTAACCCTAACCCTAACCCTAACCCTAACCCTAACCCTAACCCTAACCCTAACCCTAAAGAAGGATATCAAGTCTAGTTTTAAAGTGCTCGTACTACATTTTTCGGGATTTAGAGTCTATGTCCTAGAACTTAATATTGTTAGTCTTATAATTTCGCTCGCTCTACTACAAGCAGAAGAATTATCTACAAGAAGGCGCAATCACAAAAGAGCCTCTGCGCGTTGCGAAAGAAGATGCCTGCTCGCTCGGAATCGTCCACGAACCGCGACGTCTTAATACCTACCAGCGAAGGCGCATACGTGAAGATCGGCGCGTACGGGTAATCTGTGCCAAACAAGAGCTGCGATGCCGGTATGTCGTATGCGAGAAGACCACCGACCTGATGGAAGTACGTGGGGCCCGCGGAGTCCCAGTAGAAGCGCGTCTGCAAAGCGGCCAGGGTGCGGTCGTAGATCGCGGGGAACGACTTCAACAGGCGGTCCGCGACAGACGGGAATGCGCCGCCGACGTGCGGGATGATGTAGTTGATGTTGGTGAAGTTGAGGATGGTTTGCGTGACGGCGAGGTCTTGAAGTACGCGTGCGGTTTCGAAGTAGAACTCGATGTTGCCTGTTGGGTACGTCGTTGGGTTCGCTTGGACCAGCGAGCCGTTGATGCGCAAGTACGGGGTCGTGGGATGGATGTAGATGATCTGGTCGGCCCCGCGCGCGTTCATGGCTTGGAAGAATGGCGTGAAGGAGGAGTCGCCAAGGTATCGACCTTCGAAATTGGAGTAGAGCGCGATGCCCGCGGCTTCAAGCGTGTCGAGAGCGTACATGGCTTCAACGATGGCGTCCTGGGTATATGGCAGTGGCACAACCGCGTAGAACGAGAAGCGCTTGGGGTAGACTCGCGCATACGCTGCGGACTGCTCGTTGATCAACCGAGCAAGCGCGACCGTCGCTTCTCGATTGCCAGGATACACGTTTGCGCCGGGCGAGGATAATGCCACGACTGCGTGCGAGATGCCTTGGCTCGCCATGAAGTTGAGATGCCCTCTGACGTTCCAAAATGGAGTCGGGTTCCCGCCGGCCGTTGGAGCGATCGCGCGATACCAGTCAGGAACGCAATGCGCTATGAGCTTCATCAGGTTGAGTACCACATGGAGGAAAAGAATAGGCGTACCATGAACATCGATGATGGTGGTGGTATTCGAGCTATTGCGCTGTGGTAGCTCTTGCGCCTGGTCATCAAGATACGTCGACGCGATGCTGTCAAGAGCGGAGCTCAGGTCGAAGCCAGGTATTGCCTCGAAGTTGATAGAGTCTGGACGCGAAAGGTCAGTTCCACCGCGACGTTGTTCGCGGGTATGATGCAAGTACCAGCTACAGCGCGTTCGTAGATGGACTGGATGATCTCGTCACGCGTTGGCCATCCGTGGACACAGGCGGAGAAGGCATTCGTCCACGTTAGGACGACGAGAAATCTCAAGTACGTCTTCATATCTGCGCAGTGAGAGACGAGAGTGTCGTTGCGAAAGCAGGCATGTGTGGCACGCCTACTTATGTAATGCGCATCGCTACGATAGGGTATGCGAGCAATACATCGAAAGAGGAAAGTCTTCAAAAGCCTCATGGTCCTTGACCCATTGGTGACACCGCGCAAGCGATGCGTAAGCAACGCCACTGCACGTCAGCACGGCAGCGGGTAAAGAGGCGGCTGAGGCCAGACTCAGATCCCAAGGTTGGGCCATGAGATCTATCAATCGGGATCCTGCTATGTGACTGAGATGCATACCTGGTCCATGGTTGAGTTGCGCATCCGAGCCTGTCGACATATGTATTTATTACGATCAAATGGTGGCTGAGGCTCCCTCCAGCGAGATGCGCTTGCATGGTACGTAACGACGAGTCCAAAGTATAGCCTTCTGCTTTCCGTTCATCCCAACCGCTACTAAAAACCATGCGATATGCAGTTAAACTCAAGGCGGAGGTCGACGCCCACAGGATAATCGCGCCAAGTCTATGAGTTCATCCGCGGTGAAGACAACGCGAAAAAGCCTCATGCGGTGTAGAGTTTCCCTATGCTGCCTTGCGCTTTGTAACCGCCTCCGTACAGCTCTTGCGCTCCGCGCTGATCCATTCCATCCCCCATTGTATTTCAGTGAGTCACGCATGCCCGTGTCGTGGAGAATCGTGTCCGCGCCACGACCTGCGAGGCTGCCGGATGCGAAGAGCTACGATGGGAACCATGTATCGATGGCTGACCCAAATGCGCGATGCTTCGCTGTGGCAAAGTCGCGTTGAGATCTGGGCTCGCGTTTGGCACTCGTTGGCTGTGTGGGTGGTTGAGGGATGCTGGCCAGGTGCCGCCCTCGCTCCCAGGGAGGCGAGCCTGCAGGGTCCTAGCGTTCTGCCCCCACATCCCGAACGCGACATAGTTTCCCACATTTCATGCGCAACGTCAGCTCGAGGCCATTGCGACATCTCCTGGAACGATTTTTTGACGGAGAGCATATCGCGAACCTTCTTTCGATAATTACTGGGAAAAGAATAGTCGACGGCTGTCTGAAATCATATCTCGAATGCAAAGAACGGTTTATCGGAACGGAGTTCACATTGGCATCATTCATTCAGAACCCAGGCTTACCAGTGTAGTGTGAAAAAGTGTCCCATGGCAATTATGTATAGCGCGCTGATCTGTCCGCAATACCATTGCACCGTCAAGTCCTCGCTGGGTTGTTTACAGCGTCCTCCATCGTCACTCTAGTCTCCCCATCGTAGGGTCTCAACGCCTCACGCGCCTCTGCAGCCTCGTCCAAGAGTAGCTTTCTGATGGCGCCCGAGCGTGGAATGAACCGCACACGGAAAGGCTCCGGCCGCATGTTCTCGCTATCGGTGTATGCAAATATATCTAAATCGACTTGCTGATGCTGCGGTAATGTGTAAGCGGTCCCGACATCAACGGTCCAGGTGAACGTTTCAAAGGAGACTCACATTCTCGTGCACGCCTGGCAAGATATCAAAAGCCCAGATCACCCTCGCAAGAGAGTAAAGCAGTCCTTGCTCGGCAAGCGGCTGGCCACTACATTGTCTGCGCCCCCAACCGAAAGGATTCATACCGTACTTGTTCGGATACGGTTGTTTTGCGCAGCCTTCGCCTTCGAGAAACCTCTCGGGCATGAATCTGTCCGGATCGGGAAAGTCGCGTGGATGTCTGTGAATCGCCCACATGTTGCTGGTGAAGTTGGTACCGGCAGGGAAGTGGTAGCCTTTGTAATCGAAGTCGATGGTGTTGGCGTGAGGGATACCTGCAAGGATAGTTACGGTCCTCCAGCGGAGGGTTTCTTTGACCTGTGGCATGTTAGATATTGGAGCGCTATTCAGAATGTTCGCAATTTACCACTGCAGTCAAGTATGGAAGCGCATTCGAGTCGATGTCATCCCAGTTCGGAGAGCGACCATAACCGACGGCTGCATCAAACTCAGCATGTGCTTTCGCTTGTACTTCCGGGAAGCGCGCCATGGCCAGGATGCACGAAAGCATAGTGCTGCTGGTCGTGTCTACCCCACCACCAATCAAATTGCCCATCAGGCTCGCAACCTCGAGATCTGTCATATGGCTGGCTTGCTGAGACGCCATGACATGTTTCCCAAAGTTGTCCTTCTCCGCTTCGGCGCCTTCCTGTGTGAGCAGGTAGAAGTAGCGCGACAGTATACCAGCACCCAGTCGCATCTGGCTCGGTAACGCGTAGAGCCAAGCAGGCAAGTGCATCAGGAACGGAATCGCTTCCATCAGATAGATGCCAGGGACGATATAGTTAACAGCCTCCATCAGTTTGAGAGCTTGTTGGGCAACGTAGTCGTTCTTCCGATCGATTCGTCGGCCCCAGCCGACAATCGAGGTGATGGATACGGAGTAGCGCTCGATGGAGAGCTCGAAGTCATGCGGTTCAAGGAGGAAGTCGCGGATCAGGATTGCGGATTCGTGTGCTTGGAATGTACGATACTTGCGCACGGCTTGAGAGCCGACGGCCATGTGCTACGCTATTAGCTCGTTGTGCAGCAAGCGAAGCAACGCAGGGTAACATACCATCAGCTTTCGATGTTTCCTCCATCGGTCGCCATACGGCAACGTAGTTTGATTCGTGGTTGTCGCGTTGATCGCATCGCCCATTGCGATGATTCTTGGTCTGCTCGAGAAGATGTCTGATCTCTTCTCCAGCAAGTCGCTCGCGACCCACGCATCGCTCAATATGATGCGCGGTTGCCGTCCGATCCAGAGAGTCATCATGGGTGAATCGTAACGTTGAGCCCATTTCTCCCATGTAATCCATGGCTTGTGCGAAGGCGTTTGAAAGTGGTTTCCAACGATGGGGAATGGAAATGGGCCTGGAGGGAGGTATCGGCGGCGCCATAGCATGTGGATGTAGTCAACAGTCAAAACGACGAAAGCGAAGAAGAAAAGAATTGCAAACGCTTGAGGCATCTTGTAAGGTAAAACTCTGGGATTGCTTTTGGCTTTGGTTCGAGTCTAAAGATACCGTAAGTACTACTATTTATAATCCAGGCAACCAGGCGGCTCAGTCAATCGAATCTACGATGAGATGCTCTGGGGGGCTCGAGACTATCCCAATCATGCCAAGAACTCTCTGACATCGATGCCGATTCCCCAGTGTGAGCATGGATGCCGTCGTACGCGTGCGCGGCGGCAGCGATGGGACGTGCGGGGAAGCGAGCAATGTGGGGTCGGGCCAAATACCTAGCCTGGAGACGGGGCGTGGGATAGTCGTTGCTGCCCCGACACTTTCAACGCTCTCTTTGTCTCCTTGTCTATAACTTCGTTCGCCGCTCTTCGCGTTCGAACTCTCGTCTTCGCTCAATGCGTGCTATCAAGCGACGGTAAATGGCTTCATCTTCGGAGTCGAAAGGGCTAGCTGAGCGGCGGGTGTAATCGGTGCGATATCTTCTCTGCTGACATGCAATGTGGCGAAGACATTCTTCGTTTTGTAGCCTGTCATGCTCGTTGATACGCTGCTGTATTACTGCGCGCTGGCCGGCGTCTTCGCTTGCGTATCGTTCGATAGCCTCTAGGGCTTCGCAGAACTCGTGGAAGTTGCTGAGAATGATGGTATGGTCTTGCAGTCCCCTTCCGTCTGACTTCAGTCTCTTGTCGAGAGGTATAGAGTATCCAGCCGTGTTCTTCCAGCCCGACACCAGCGGCGGTATCTTCCACCGATCCTGCTGCTCAGTACTAAGCACCCGAGGAGGAGACCGCAGGACCGGCGCCGGCGGCAAAGGCGCTGTGCACGCGGCGCGCTTTCGTTTACCCTCCGGCGGCTCGCAGATATCGTGCTCCTTCTCGCGCATTTTAACGAACTTCTCTGTTGACGGTACGAAATGACGGAACTTCGTTGGCTGGTGGAGCGGATATTCGCGGTTCTTCGCCATCTTCATTCTTCGGCGGGAGTCTCTCGCCGTTGTCGGTATATACTGAAGGAATTTGACCGTATTCTTGGATCTCATCCGGCTTGCTTCGGAGAGCTTTAGCCCAGGCACTGCTATAGTCTGTTCCTTGGTCTTTCGCACGGTCTCGGTGTTTGGTATCTCAAGATGCAGGTCTTCCGCGCTCACATGCTGTCCCAGAGGTATCAAGACACCGAAAAACGAAGGTAGTGTGCGGTGGGAGATGGAAGTTGCGATGGTGTGGGAGAAAAAAATGTACGAATCGCAAGATTAGTGTGTGTTGAAACTCAACCGGCGCAGGCAACAGCCTTGGCACGTGACCCCCGAAAAAGATCATTGGGGCGTAGTCGTGGTGTTGGAATCCGGTAGCCATCCTGTGGTCCATCTTTGCTGCTAGCTTAGGTGGACCACTCACAACTCTGACGTTGGAGCACATTGCTCCGCCCTAGAGGTCTTCTCCGCCCTAGAGGTCTTTCCAGGGTCCATGTCTCACCCAGATACTCAGCGAAGCCCAAACACCAAACCTGAAGGCGCAAATACCTGGGATGTGCTGGTTATATCGCAAACGTCGAAAAGCAGCATGCATCAAACCGCAACGCGTAGTCGGAGGAGCAAGCGATGAAGACGCACACCACCCTTAAAGGCACAAAGTCGTCAGTAACGGTCGTCCCATCGAAATCGAATCCTCGCATCAGCCATGACGACGGTGAACCCCGAGATTGTCGATACTTCTCAAGCAGTCGTCAAGCTCGTAGACCAGCTAATCTCCAGTCACGAAACGCGAGATGACACGCTTGACCGGCCCATCATCCACATCTCTCTCGAAGGTGTGAGCCTTGGTCGCTCAGGCACAACCTCCATCATAACGCTCTTGCTCCACGAAAGCCCTTCATCGCAGCACACTTACCTCGTCGACGTCCGCACGCTCGGCGCACAGGCTTTCACTACAGCAGGTGCAGACGGAAAGACGCTGAAGCAGATCCTAGAAAACTCAGACATTCCCAAGGTCTTCTTCGACGTGCGCAATGCCTCCGCTGCGCTCTTCGCGCTTTACAACATCGCCCTTGAGGAAGTACAAGACGTACAACTAATGGACAGTGCAGCCAGAAAAACCACGGCAAAGCGTGAGTCCCTCAGTGAACTGCCCGATTGCGCGAAATAAGACAACTCAGGTATCTCATTCCACCGTTCCGAGACTTTACGCAGGGACAGGCACGCGGGCGAGATCTTGTTTAGAGCTGAATTCGGTGGATCGCCCGAAGTGTTCAACCAGCGGCCCCTTCCCGATGACATCGTCAAGTACTGTGTGGGCGAGGTCGCATGTCTTCCGGTGTTGCGCAATATGCTTTGGAGGACGAGGACGCAGAAATGGCGGGACTTTGTGCGCGATGAGACGGAGAGACGAGTCGCGTATACTCATGCGGCCGGTTATCAGTCCGGTGGGACAGATCGGGTGTTGGCGCCGTGGAATGATGAGCAGAACAAAGTGCTGAACCGGTTCGCGGCTCGCGATTTTGACGACTGGCTGGAGGACGACGAGGTTGAAGAGGTCGTAGAGTGAGAACCAAGGCCCTCTTTCATAGGCGCGCCGAAGTGGTGAGCACACGATCAATGTTAGCGGAAATCATCATAGTCTGAATCCGTAGAATGTGGAGTCATCATCCGCAAGCGCAGCACAAGTGCGATATACAATACTGTACATATCTACATACCACCCTCATCTTACACTCACGCCGTGCGCTCACTATGAACCTCCTCGTCATCCTCCTTTTTCGTAGTCTCATACCTCTTACCACGGAAAGAGTACACGCCCCAGTTACTGCACGTAACATCATGCGGGTCCAGGTCATTGAGATCCCATCTCAGACTCCTGAACAGGTTCTCGCCCGGCTCGAGCAACATGTCCATCTCATTCCCAAACCTGTTCTTCAGGAAGTCGACATCTTGCTGCATATCCCACGGGCTGTATCCAGTCGCGATGATAGGCACCTTCGTCTCGAGGAGGAGGGGTAGCGTCTCCTCCCACTCATGCGCGGAGGCGGGGTTGCCGAAACCGGGGTGGAACACGACGAAGCAATCGAAGTAAGGGTCGTAGGGGTAGAAGTACCCTGTCTTGTGGATGTTATGGTAGTACTCGACGAAGGTACTAATCTTGAGAGAGTTGCTAATGCGGTCCTCCACAACGGCGCCGAACGGGTTTAGAGGCGTGCGCTCGGGAAGAGGCAGTTCCTTCTCGCGGTTCGCCATGCTCTCGGGCCCAATGAAGTTGAGCGAGAATTGTACGCGGTGGAAGAGGTAGGAGAGTTGCATCCAGGTTTCGCGGGGTAGCGAGGATTCTGCGCGGGCGCCGAGGATGAAGAGGCGGACGGAGGGGGGTGCGAGGCGTGCGTTCTTCCAGGTGTCGCCGCCGCCGGTTCGGGGTGGGTGGAGGGTGTGGCGGAGGGCTGGGGTTGTGTTAGTATCATGGAAGCTACACAAGTGATGAGGACGTACCGCTGAAGCTCTTCAGTCCCTCGGGTGTCATGCGCCCGTTCTTCCGGATGTTGTAGGGACTCAGCTCGTTCAATACACTGGCGATGGTGATTGGGTATGTCAACAGCTTTGTCGCCTGGCGCATCTCTCGGTCCTCGTTCAGCGCATCAAAGTCTCGCGTGTACATGTACGTGTCCCAGCTCGTCATATTGACCAGAATCTCCTCCATCTGGGGCTCCGCGAACTGGAACTCCTTGAAGAAGCGCCCACTTCTCAGATCGTGGTCGTCCTCGTTGATCTGCTTCAGGACGTCACACACTTCCAGATGCGCCTCGTAGTCGTCCGCCCAATGTTCCTCGCAGCAGTACACCGGTATGCCACAGTCTGGGCACTCGAAATCGACATGGGCGGGCGGGGCGCCCGTCTCAGAGGACTTGCGCGCCTCAAGGTCCATCGGGTTGTTCGCCGGACGCGTCGGCTGATGCGAGGGGTGTGGGCAGTAAGCATGCTGGCGCATGAAGGCCGCACGCTTCCGTATTTCAGGTATTGGCGAACCGGAGAAGGAATTGAAGAGGTTGTCCTCGGTCAGGACCAGCTTCCGCCGGTGGCCCTCGGGATCGATGTATTCATACGGCTCGAACGGCTTCTCGAAAGTCCGGGCCGGCGTCGTCGAGAGGCTGCGCTTGGGCAGGGCAAGCTTTGGCGGTGCTGCACTTTTGGTGGAATGATTGCGTTGCGACGACACCTTGGGCGCGAGCGGGCCGAGGCTTTGCGACGGCCGTAAATGGGAGCGCGGCGTCTTCAGGGCCGAGAGACACTGTCGGCAGGTGTACGGCGTCCTCATCTTGGGCTGTCGACTCGCAATTGGTGTTGGCGGGCTGCTGCCATATCGTGACATGAGGGTCCGCCAATGTTAGCGCGGTTTCGGCCAATCCAAACGCCGATTGGCTGCCTGCCCTGACGAAGACATCATCACCCGCCGCCGCCTGGTTGTACTCAACACCAATGTCACTCCATCGCGATATCGACGCGCTTTATTCTCGCTTCTCATTTCAAGACGATCGCGCTGTGGAAGCGCGAATTGCGTGATTTTGTTGGGATTCGACAGCGACGGGCCATATGTCCAGCTCCGAGTCCACTTGAAGTACTACTCCACGAAGCTGCTTATCCCCCAGCTGGGCATACTGACTATCCTCGCATCTGGCAATTTCAAACGCAGGGATTCGAGCGGTGCTAAACATGTCGACAAAGTATCTACCTCCCCACAGCCTGTCCATCATGTTTCTCGGTTGTAGATGATGCGGAATTTGACTCCGATGTAGTTGACCTATCAGGGTTGCACGATGTTTGGCATAAAGCTCGGCCTCTTTTGCGCGGTACCTGCTATTCCTGGACATCTTGAATATGCCACCGGAAGAACAACTCCATGAACGTTGTTCACGGAGAATCTTTATAGCGATCGCCATACACAGACGTTACTTCCCCGCAACTAACCCCGGAAAAGATGCAAGCCCGCTGCACAACGTCGCATGGATCGCCAACATACAATAAAATCACAGTGGCGCCCGTATTGCGATCATGATCAAGGCCGCTTAAAACTAATACGTCAACACCGACAATGCGGACATCCCAGATTGTATCGCTCCTAGCGACCTGTGGGTTGGTTGACTTGTCAATTGCGAAATCACTATGGTCGACAGTTCCTGCGAATGGTAGCGACATCATCCGTACCACCTATCCTCTTGGAAATGGACGTCTTGGTGCCATGCCAATTGGCCCGCCCGGTGCTGAGACGCTCACCTTGAACCTGGATACACTGTGGTCAGGAGGTCCTTTCAACGCATCGGTGAGCTATGCTAACTCTATCCTGACAATGAACCTAACACATCAGATAGAATTACACGGGCGGTAATCCGACCTCTTCCAAAGCAGCAGCATTACCGGGTATCCGCGACTGGATATTCACCAATGGAACGGGAAACGTGACGGAGCTGCTGGGCTTGGACGCTTCGTACGGATCGTACCAAGTACTAGGGAACTTGAGTGTGACCATACCGTCGATAGCAGGTTCCGATGTTACCGACTACATGCGGACATTGAACCTGAGCAACGGCGTCCACACCACGGCATTTAGCGTGAACGGTACCCTTGTCGAGACCGAAACGTTCTGCTCGTTTCCAGATCAAGTCTGCGTCTATTCAGTTCGCTCTTCGGGTGAGCTGCCAGTGCTGGAATTGAGACTGGACAATGCACTCGTTGAACCGGAGTTGCGCAACGTTACATGCGTCGGCGGTAATGCGACGAGTTCTGGGCACCTGAGAATGAGCGCCCTTACGCAGCTTGGCCCACCTGAAGGCATGAGATACGACGCGATGGCACGAGTTGCAACCGACACCGGTATCGAACTTGTATGTGATGGTGAAGCAAAGTCTTTGACGGTCTCCTCGCGCAACGGTACGAACAGTGTCACGTTAGTAGTCGGCGCTGAAACGAACTACGACGCAAAGAAGGGAACAGCGGAGTACGATTACTCCTTCCGTAGCGAAGATCCAGGCCCGGTCGTTGAGTCCACGACTCTCGCCGCCGCCGCCAGACCTTTGTCGGATCTACAAGGGCGTCACATGGAGGACTTCACTTCTCTCACTGACCGCTTCACGCTATCTCTTCCCGATCCTTTCAACTCATCTCAAGTACCCACATCCGAGCTCGTCGCACGGTACAACGCCAACAGCACAGCCGGCGACCCATACCTCGAGAGCCTGCTCTTCGACTATTCACGATATCTCTTCATCGCCAGCTCGCGACCAGGCTCTCTTCCCCCGAACCTTCAAGGACGGTGGGCCGAAAGCCTTGAACCCGCTTGGTCAGCAGACTACCATTCCAACATCAACATCCAAATGAACCACTGGACCGCGGATCAGACTGGTTTGACGGACCTTCAATCACCACTATGGGATTACATGTCTGACAACTGGGTTCCGCGCGGCAGCGAGACCGCCGAGCTGCTGTATGGCGCACCTGGCTGGGTGGTTCACAACGAGATGAACATCTTCGGCCACACGGGCATGAAGAGCGGAGCTGAGTGGGCAAATTATCCGCTTTCTGCAGCTTGGATGATGCAGCATGTCTTCGACCATTGGGATTACTCGCGCGACGAAGTCTGGTTGCGTGATCAGGGCTACCCGCTGATGAAAGGCGTTGCTGAATTCTGGCTCAGCCAGCTGCAAGAAGATCGATTCAACGACGACGGCTCGCTGGTCGTAAACCCATGCAACAGTCCTGAGCATGGCCCTACAACATTCGGATGCGCGCACTACCAGCAACTCATCCACCAAGTTTTCGATGCCGTCCTTTCCACTGCCCCCACCGTCAACGAGACCGACAGCGCGTTCGTCACCAACATCACCGATTCCCTCCAACGGCTCGATAAAGGCTTCGCAACCGGCACCTGGGGCCAAATCAAAGAATGGAAACTACCCGAGGAACCCTACGGCCTAGAATTCATCAACGACACCCACCGCCACCTTTCCGAACTAGTCGGCTGGTACCCCGGCTACTCAATCTCCTCCTTCCTCGACGGCTACACCGACACAGCAGTCCAAGATGCCGTTCGCCAGAAACTGTACAGCCGCGGCAACGGCAACGGCGAGGTCCTCAACCAAGCGAACGCAGGCTGGGCTAAGGTTTGGCGTGCCGCTTGCTGGGCTCGCCTCAATGAGACGGATGAGGCGTATTATGAGCTTAGATATGCGATTGAACAGAACTTCGCGGGTAATGGGTTGAGTATGTATGATGGGGATAGGGTGCCGTTTCAGATTGACGCGAACTTTGGGTTTGGAGGCGCGATGTTGAGTATGCTTGTTGCGGATATGCCGTTGGCTGCGAGTGATACCGGAAAGAGGACTGTGGTGTTGGGGCCTGCGATACCGAAGAGTTGGACTGGCGGGAGTGTGAAGGGATTGCGATTGAGAGGCGGTGGGGTTGTGGACTTTGTGTGGGATGAGAACGGTGTGGTTGTGGAGGCGAAGGCCAAGGGGCAGCTTGAGGGCTTGATTCTTGTGAACAAACACGGAAAGGTGCTCATGGGGT